TGTGTATGATGTTTATTCAAACTCAACAAATACCACACAGATGTCTAAAAACGCAGCATCTGTTTTTAACAAAATAAAATGTGTTTCAGAAGGAATAATTTTGCCTTTTCAAATATTTGAGCAGAAAAGATAAATTGCTGCAGAGCCACAGCTGTTGTGAATGCAAAGCAATCAGTCGGGGCATATAGAGGGCAGCCCGTCCTCATACAAGCGCAGTATCACCAGTCTGTTAAGGACAAGTCGCTGCGTTCAGATTGAAAGATGTCTTAGAGTTGACTTTCATTTGGGTGTGTTGACAATGACCTCTGGAAAAACAGGCTTTGGTGGAGGGAAAAGCAAAAGTATGTCTTTCATTGGTGAATAGAAGTGCCCTGGTCCCCAGCATGAAAGTATGAGGATTTTTCTAATATCAGATCACGTGCATACAAGCTTTGTTTCACACAATTTCCCTGCGCCTCTTTCAAAAAAAAATGTGTTCAGTAAATAATGGAGGCAAATAGGATACAGAAACAGCAGGGGAACAGGAGAAAGTTTACACTGCCTATCTGTACCACTGTAAAACGAAATGATAACATGCATGAAAATCAATTTCCCTTCTTCTCCTGCTGATCAGTATTTTTATGTTTGGTGGGGAAGTTGCAAACAGAACAAATTCTGTTGCTGAGGTTAATCTTCGCAGACATGTCTGTTTCTGTGATTTCCAGCTGAAATTCACAGACAGACATCTTTTGCAGTATGGTTTCCATGGGAACGGGAGGAAATGATTTTCTTGGCCAGCTGCATTAAAATGAACAGCTGTATGTTGTTATTACTTTACAGGTGATTTGCACTTTAGAGGTTTCAGCTTATGTTCAGCAAGAGTCTTCTAAACTATAATTCGCCCTTCTCTCTAATGCTGTCATGTTATATTTGAATATGCTTAATTCTGTGCACACACACACCAACCAACCAACCTTTCGTGGTCATTAATATTATTTTATTAAACTGTCAATATTAAATTGAATCAGGTGATTTGCACTTTAGAGGTTTCAGCTTATGTTCAGCAAGAGTCTTCTAAACTATAATTCGCCCTTCTCTCTAATGCTGTCATGTTATATTTGAATATGCTTAATTCTGTGCACACACACACACACACACACCAACCAACCAACCTTTCGTGGTCATTAATATTATTTTATTAAACTGTCAATATTAAATTGAATTAATGCTTTTATTCATATTTTATTGGCATCAAATCGATCAAAAGTGGGAGTAAAGACCATTTATGTTACAAAAAAAAATCTATTTTAAATAAATGCTGTTCTTTTGAACTTTCTCTTCCACAAGGATTCCTTATACATATATTTAAAATATAAACCAGTACAACTGTTTTCAACATTAATAATTGTGCTGTATTTAATGTATCCTCTTTTTATTCTTAACTGTTTGAATATATTTGAAATATTTTTTTATATTTTTAATAATTGTTATTTGTTTTTATTATTTTATTTCTAATGCTACTTTTATTTCTAATGCTTTTTTAAATTATTTTATTTTAGTTCCTTTTCATGTATAGCACTTTGAATTACCATTGTGTCTAAAATGTACTATATAAATAAACTTCCCTCACCTTAATAATAATAATAATAGTTTCTTGAGCACCATATTATATCAGGCTGAATGATGTAATGGCTGCTGAAAATTCAGCTTTGTCATCACGGGAATACATTTAAAATAAATTATTTAGAAAGATATTAAAATAGAAAAGTCTATTTATTTATTTAATTGTAATAATATTTCACAATATTTCGGTTTTTACATGAAAAATAGAAAACCTTGTTAAGGTGCTGCAATTCAGTCTCTTTATATGACCAGATAAGAGAAGGTATCATTCTCTCCTGAATCCCTGTAAAATTTCGTAGAGATGGGATGACTGTCATTAGGGCACAAGTTAAACATCTTTAGATGGCTGCACGCTACTTTCTTCCATGTGCAAGGTTTCAATCAAACTTGCTATTTGATTATCAAAACTTTCAAAGCGGTTTCGATTTGTCTTAAGCTGCAGGAAATTCAAGGGGACATCTGGAAGGATGTCTGCAGATTATTTGCAATTTTGTGTGTAGTAGACATCAATGAGAGGCCTGCTCAGACTTTGGCTGGAACCCACCTCACCTCAGGCTCATTACAGTGCAGACTGGCCCATAATCCGCCTTAATTCCTCGTTGCCGTTCATTCTCTCTTTAAACCACTCTAGTCCGGCACAGCCAATGAATGGAGGGCCTATGGAGGCACACAGGTATTGGCTTTTCCTTCCAGGCATGCAGTCTGTCTTTGTAGTTCTCCACAGGAGTCAGCGAGGCTATCACTTACCGTGCCAAACTCATTCCCTCCACCTCAGACGTTACCAGCAGATAATGTCAGTGCCAGACTTGCATTCATTAGCATCAGCCTGGAATTGAGAGGCTCTGTGAGAAAGAGCAGGAAGCCATGACGTTGAGCTTGTCCGTTAAAAAGGGGTTTCTCAAACTACATGCACTGTTACGTCCCAAGGAATGGTTTTTATGAAAACGTTTTATCTTGAAACTTATTAGGAAAAAATAAAGTGGGAATGTCTCAGCTAACAGAGAATGTTCTCAGAACTGGCTAACATTCTCTCAAAGATATGAACAAACATTCTTACAGTTAATAGAATGTACATTCAAAGTGGTCTGGTATTTAATAATGGTCTAAAACCTTAGTATGAAAATGCTATTTATACATCATTCATGGAACAGTTTTAGTTGGATGTTTGTCTAAATTGTTTTTTAAATGTTACTTTGTTTCAGAACATTCAAAGGTAACATTCCTTGCAAAAATGGAATGTTCCCTTAATGCTGTATAGAACCAAGAAAAGTAACATTTTTAAAACATTCAAAAAAAAAATAAAAATGTGAATGTTCAGCAAACATTAAGAAACAGCATTAGCAAAACATTCTCAGGAAATAGGATTTTTGTTCACTGGAGTATTATTTAAATTTTTTTTAAGTATGTTTTAAGAGAGTTTGATTTTTTTTTTATAGTCCATAAGGCCAAAAGTGCCAATAGTTGAAGAAAACCCTTTCAATATGTGCAGGCTTTATGGTAATAAATCAATGCAATTATGCAATTTTATAAAGAATCAATGCAATTATGTATTTTAAAGGTATGCTGCAAAATGTTTGGATGTTTGACTGACATGAGAAACTGGGTCAATTATGGCAAGAGATACAGATGGATGTTTGTTTCGCTGGTCAGAAGAGAACCATTTATGTTGAGAAATCAGTGGGTGTCAGGAAATGTATCTTTTTTTTTTGTATCATTGATTCTCCACATTCCCGGTTTAGAGTGCAAATGCCCTTCCAACAGTGAAGAAACACAGATAATTGGCCACTGTTGACAAGTTTGTCCAGTAGCTGTGTTAGATTTGCTTCCGCTGGTCAGAAGAGAACCATTTATGTTGAGAAATCAGTGGGTGTCAGGAAATGTATCTTTTTTTTTGTATCATTGATTCTCCACATTCCCGGTTTAGAGTGCAAATGCCCTTCCAACAGTGAAGAAACACAGATAATTGGCCACTGTTGACAAGTTTGTCCAGTAGCTGTGTTAGATTTGCTTTTTAACCATGAACATTTAATTAGGAGTCTAGAGCAACACATGGCAATGAACTGCATGAAGTATTTTATCGCAGATGTTTTATTTGTTTTTAATGACTTTTGCCTTGCCCAGACAAGCACAAACAAAAACAAAATCCCAGACACTTGTATTTAAACTCTGATATAAAATAGAGTATGTCTTTCATTACGCTATAAGCTGCTATTTAATTAAGCAAAGAATAGCTGCAAAGGGTAAGTACTAGTATTATGCAGACTAAACTAGAGCGCTTTAATTCCAAACCTGTTAATCAGTGAACTCAATGCCTGACATCAAAGGATCAAGGATGTGTTGATTGTAATGGGCTGGATCACTCATCAAAGAGTGAACCTGGCCTTGTCCACTGTAACACCCAGCATGTATGTAAAAAAAGGCATGTGGGCAATTGGCAAAGTAAATGGTGTCAAAGTCTACAGGTTTTTTTTGCTGATTGGAGACAGTGCAACCCTGAGTGTAAATGAGATTTGGAGAAGACGAAGTGCAAAATGAAGGCAGACTCTTCAGATGAACTGTTACAAAGAAAAATGATAAAAATGATTTGCATGTAACACTATGATGTTCACATGTCTGAAAAGCTTTGTAAAATACACATTATATACAAAAATATATAGCTATCTGTATCTTCTTTTATTTTAAAACTTTAAATAAATGCTTAAAACAAGTAACTATCTGAAATCGTCTGTCTCTAACAACTGAGCATTATGTATAATTAATGCTAATAATAATATATTCAGAAAATACATTAATATAGTTTAACAGAAAGCAAATGCCAAAAACTACACAAATATACAATACAATAGTCTACTGTGTCTGGTATAGTGTTTTACAAGATTTTATTTGGATGCTTTTGAAGTCATTAAACAAATGTATTTTGAAGGACAGATGTTCCCTGGACCCAATCAATGTGAAAAGCACCAGAACCATATGTTGTGTATATTGTAAATTGGCAACCATTACCGAACATTTCCAGAACAGTGGTGGCAAATTCCTTTAATCCTATGAAACAAAACAGAGGGTATAAACATATGCTGTTGCATATTAAATATCTTTTGAACATTGTTAACCTAGTACACAAGTAAACTTGAATAGTTCTGGATATAGTGAGAGCTACACTTCTTGGTGGTCCCGTTTATTTGACCATATGCATAATAACGTCAATGAACCCACATGAGGGCAGACCGGTATGCCATGTTCCCAATTTTCAAATCTTTGTTATGGCGAACCTGAGAGCAGTGATTACAAAAAATGACAAATTCTTGCAAACCACTAGACCCCTCGTGCCCAGACAAGTGACTCATTGCCTTCACAATGGGCAATTAAAGCAGGGGGCAGGTGGGAGGGGAACTGTAGTGTGAGTTTCGAGCAGGTCTGTGTCTATTTGGATGTTTGGCCTGAGGCATGGCTCACTGGAGAGGGTTAACAGCAGAATAAATACCCATCTTTGCAGTCATTATTAGGCTTAGAGCATAATATTCCAGAAACTTGCATCGGTCCTACTTTGGTTTGTTACAGTTTACTGGCGTATTAAGAAGGGCCATGGAGATTATGGTGGGATGTCTGTCTATCTGCATCCAACCTAGGGATGGGTACCGAAACCCGGAATTTAATCGGTCCCGGGGCTAAATTATGAAAGACTGGAGTATCAATAAGCTCTGATGTTAACGGTTTTAAAGCTATTAAAAACTAGCAGCGTTTCGTCTTGCGCAACTTCTTTCCCTTCACAGCGGTGTGCATTCGTTCCTCCCTAAAACCCAATCTTAACGTCATAATCAGCTCAATCGGTGATTGTTGTAAAATGCCATATTTACTGTTGCTGGACAACATTGCGGGACATGTTTGATAAAACGTTGAAAGCACAAGAGACGCTGTTCCTCAGGCTGAAATGTGTGCGCTTCGCGCTCTAAAACGGACGAACAAATTACAGTTTGAGCTTCGGGTGTCCAAACGATCAAATACACACAGAAATATGTCAAAATGGCCGGCTTGGAGAGTTTTTTTTTTTACTTTGTTTCTTTGTTCATGTTCTTACTGTATCTTATCTTATGTATAAAACTAAAAATGCCTGCACACTGGTGCATTTACAAATTGATGTTTTATATTCATTTCATTAAATATTTATTTTACATTTCAGAATATAAAGCAATGTTAATTCAGCTTTTAATTTGTCATATATATATATATATATATATATAATACAAAAAGTACCGAATCGATAAACAGTATTGGTAAGAGCAGTAATACCATTAAAACCTTAAAGATACCCATCCCTAATCCAACCCAACTACCCCCTGGTGCTATCATGGCCTCTCCTTGATCTTGTGCAAATTTCTCCCTTCATAGGGGATGAGGGGAATTGGATCATGGAGGCAGTTGAGCAAAGGCATGTTTTGATGTTTATTCATTTGCTCAGTGCTCAATCCAAGAATGCAGAAAAGTGGACCTCTGATACACAGTTTCTATCAAACTTTAATGAGGTTGAATAAATTAACGACACAAATGATGTTGTTTTAGAATTTTAGATCATTAAGTTTGTCTCTTTGTACAAAATTCTGCATATTTCATGGCAACAAATGCTCTCATTTCAGAAGAAGGCACAAGCCATATGCCTTCATCAACCAATCTCTGTGATAAGACTCAAAACGTTCAACTTGGCCTCAAGTTCTCCTGCTGTATGTGTATCTCAAGTCAATCAGAAGACTGTTAGAGGCACAGTCTCAACTCTGATGCAACTCATGAAGCCTGACTGGCTCTATCGTTCCAGTCTCTGTGCCACATTTGGGGCAGGTAAAGCAGATGTCAGCGATCGTGTGGCTCTTGAGGCAGTAGTAGCAGAACACGTGGTTGCAGCTGACCGAATGGGGCATTGTGGGCCACTCCCCACAGATGGCGCACTCGGTGCAGTAGGTCTCCTCCGAACCTTCCGTTCCCCTCAGTTCGTTCAGAGGGGAGAACAGAGTTGCAACACTGGCCTTTAGCTTCCACATGTTTATGAGTGGCAGCAGAAAGATAAGGAACTCAGCAAAGCCGTTCCACAACAGCTCCCGGTTCAAGAACTGGAAGTTGATGTCTCGTGGTCCCTGGGGTCGACTGAAGACTGGCTGCACTCCCAGCAATCTTTCGGTAAGTGTTGGATAGGTTCCTCTTTGGAGGAACAGTAGGAAGTTGACCAGGCTGGCCACTTTAGTAAGGCCCGTCAAGATGCTGAGTACCTTCCGGGCCTTGGATTCTGCAGGGTGGTTGAGGAACAAGCTATGTGAGCGTTCTCTCAGCCACTTTTCGCCAACTGTCAGCAGAACAAACCAGAACTTTTGTGGCCGGCTCATGGGCCGGTACTTCTGTCCTGGGATCAGAGAGTTCTTGTACCGGATGTTGAGCAGTGATTGGCCCACGGTGGCACTGTTAGAGAAGACGGTGAACCTCCACAAGAGGAGCTGGAGAAGGGCCTTGAGTTCTGGTTCCACAGGGGTTAAGAGCCCAGGCTTGAAATGCTGGAAACATTGGGTGAACTGTGACCAAACAAGCTGTTCCAGTGCACCATCCAGTTCAAAAGCATCCAGCTGACTTATTCTCAAAACCCGAGATAAAGGGCTTGGGCCGGCCTTGGCGAAAGGCTTGTCACCTCCAGCTCCAGCTACAAGCAGAAGAAGCAAATGGTTATGCATTTTTGCATTTGAGTTGAAATCACTTTTCACATGTAAAACCCGTCCTAAATTCCCTTTTAACTGTGCAGGGCAGAGGCACAGGAGGTCTTACGCTGTTCCTTCTCGAGATTCAGTCTGGGGACAAATCACATCACAGGAGATTATCCCAACAGCACGGGCTTGGAAAGGCAGTAAACATCCGCTATGTGGAGCTACTTTACTTTGACGGCTTTTTATAAGGGATCTAAGAACTGTGACGTTTGGCAATTTTTCATGGAATGCGTTTGTATCGGGCAGAGTTTATCTCTTTAAACGTGATGGTTAAAAAATGAGAGCCAGGAGCTGTGGTGACCACCTCTTAGCTTAGGACAGGATTTGGACAATATCTGAAATAAATTGGCTTATGAAAATTGCAGGAAGCATCTCTAAATCTTTAAGGAAAATCTTTTTTTCAATACTTCAGGTTCATCTGTGCCTAAAACCTTCACCCATTTAAGAATGAAACTGAAATGGACAGTAAAAAGGATGCAAGATGTTCATGAATCAGTTAAATTATCTGCTTTAAACAGATGTTGGAAACTGTAGTTATGTTTATTGTATCAGTCAAAGCTTCCCCTTTTAGGCCGCAGATTATGTTTATACCTGCCGAGGCTTACAGACCAGTTCAATAGTTTCTCAGGTTAGGAAAAAATCCTTCACTGCTCGGCAGCACTTGGCCAGGTGAGACAAATCATTGCAGCAGGCCACTCTGGGGATACGGCTTTTCCATGTTCTCGTCATAGGCTTTTATTGAGCAGTTTACAAGTTATGAATGAATATGTTTTATTTGAGAACATAATATTGACAGCAACCTATCAATAGTAATGTGACTATTGTCAAGGGCCTGTCAATAGTAATGTAATTATGATTTAGAGGATCACATAGATGTTAGCTCGGGCAAGTAACATCTCTTATAGGACTGCTATCAATATCAGGATTACTATTGACATGTTCTCTCAGACTCAAAGCACTTGCCAAATATATAACAACTAGACACTTTTGTCAATGTGCACTGCCCATAAAAATTAAGCATTTGAATGTACAGGGCTTTAACCGGAAAGCTGAAAATCTATGCTTCTTATGTAATCGGCCAAATTCGTAATCAATGGCTGCGTTTACATCTACTGTAATCAGAAGACCTGGCCTACATGGAGCATTTACAGTGCCACTACAGTGACAAATAGCCAATGAAAATGTGGCCTAGCTAAAACAGTAGTCTGAATAAACAACTGGACACAATATATTTGTAAACTGATTTTCTCATTAGCTATATATTTCAACAATATAACGCTCTGTTATTTATAACCCAAGTGCAATTTACAGTCGGATTTTCTAGGAAATGGAGCCCATCTTCAGGCTGCAAAATGGATGGGGAACACGCATATAAGGTTATATCAGCCAAGTCAAGGTCCTGACAAGCAGCCTTAAATGACAAATGCCTGACACCGACAAGGGCTATAAAACATGTTCTCCTGAGGCAGCCCACTGGAGGCTCAGGCCTGCAGTTCTGCAACTGATAAGCTGGGTCACAGAGTCACCTTGGGCTTAGCATTACAAGGCGGTAGGCCATGATATTCCTGCAGCGACTGGACAATTTGGAATCCAGAGATTTTTAGGAACCCTGTGGTTACGTGACCTTGCTTTTGATATTCTGTCATCCTTTGCATCTTTGGGGCAAGTCACAGACCTAATATCTGTTTATTCAAACAAAAACATATATTTACATTGCTACAGTTTTTGCTATATTATATTATATTATTCAAAAGTTTAGGGTCAGTAAGAATTTTTAAAATGTTTCGAAAGAAGTCAAAATACTGTAAAATAGTGATACTGTGAAATATTATTACCATTTACAATAACTGTTTCTATTTTAATATATTAAAAAAAATTTTTTTTTCTGTGATGGTAACACTTAATTTTCATAGCCATTACTCCAGTTTTCAGTGTCACATGGTCCTTCAGAAATCATTCTAATATGCTGATTTGGTGCTGTTTTTGTTAAAACAGTTGTGCTGCTTACTATTTTTATTGAAACTATGATACATTGTTTTTCAGGATTCTTTGATAAATAAAAAGCTAAAGAACATTCAAAATGATAAATTATTTCTGTCAGTTTTGATTTAATGCATCCTCGATAAAAGTATTAATTTCTTTTAAAAAAAATTCTTACTGACCCAAACATTTGAACAGAGTATATTGCATTATATTTAATGATTAAAAATATATAAAATAAAAATATATGTATTTGCCAAATATTTCAGTGCCTATTATAAAATTGAAATCACATGATGCCAGAGGGGTTTTATTATCCTTTGCTCAAACCTGTCACTTTGTACAGACGAGGTGTCACTCAGTCAAAAAATGTCTTAAACTGTCTTAAACCTTCGCTTGCATTAATCATTTCAGTGATTAAGGTTACAGAACTCCGGCGCCATTTTCAGCTGGCAGAAACATTAGCAAGTCTCCTTGTTTTGCATTTAACTTTTAACTCTGTCCCAGAAGTATCTCTTTTATTATGAACACTGATGGGTCTGTCAGTCTCTGAATTTTAAAGGTGATGTCATCCTGAAATGGGATTACAGCACTGCTAAAATACCCCCGTCCTGTGACCGTTCTAATTGTTCTACGTCTGTATCATAAAATATGAATGTCTGCAAAAGCTCTTGGGGTTTAAGGTCTGGTCCTAATGTCTCAGACTGCCCCATTTCTCTAATTACCAATGAATCGCAAGAGCCCCGATCTAACAAACTTAACATCTAAGAAATAGCAGCTAGGTCTGACACAAAGATATGCTTTGCTAAATCTTGTTTGCACAAAATGTAAATTATTTAAAAGAATTAATTGATTTTGTGAGTATAAAGGTGGAAGATTTAAAGTACAGATTTAGGCAGAAAAAAAACAGCTTAAAAACTCATGAAACATTTAAAGGCTGAGGCAGCAGGAACGACTGAAGAGAACAGTTAATAAATGAGCAAATTGTGAAGCTGCATATTATGGTGTACAGAGGGCAGTCGGGCTTTGCTGTGTCCACATAAAAACATAAAAGATCTCCGCTTCAATACATTTGTCTTGTAATTTTTTTATCACCTTTATGAGATGATGTTTTTGCATAAAAAAGCATTTCATCTTTTTATGATAACCATTTTGTTCTACTTAAATAAAAAAAGAAAAAAGATTAGAAGCAGCTACAGCAAACACGCCATCCTTATTCCATGACACCACATCACAAACCACTGCCCTTAAAATCATGTTTATGTATGAGAATTGTTTTTCTTCTCACCCTCATCCAGATTTGGTTTAGCAAGGCCATGTAATGTAATAATAAAAGACTCCCTGTTTATATAGAAGCAGCAACTTGGTAAACATTTTGCCCACAAATGGAAGAAAGACTCAAGCTCAGTTTCAAACACATCTGCAAAACAATCCAACAATATAGAGTGCTTTATAAATTTTAATCCATTTAAATGCAACACTGGCACAAATCTATAGGCAACCTTTTGACCTGGGCTGAGATCATACCGCAGTCTGACTTTAACTCCATTCATTATGTTAAGTGTGCTATGAGCCACTTAGAGCTCATTCAAATCCACAGCAATCAGCGGTCCTAATTCTGTACGATGACTGCATTTCTGATCACTCTAAAACTTCATACAAAAATGTACACTCTAAAGTTAGTGTTAATATGAATTAATTTTCCATATTGATTTTTCACAGGTGTTTTGCATAGTGATGTGTTTTAGGGTTGAAGGAAATGCCCGTAAACTTAATGAAAATGGAACCAGTCATTTTCTGCTAGGACATTATGCGTTTTTCTACAGATTATTATTTTGTTACAGTGCTATAATGGTTGCACTTTATTTTACAGTATGTGTATTTGTGTGTATTTACGGTGTACTTGCCTAAGTTGGTAATATAAGGTAACTACATGGGTTAAGATTAGGTTCAGGGTTAATAGTTAATACCCAGTTAGAGAATTACTATAATAAGTACATAACATGTACGTGAGGAACAGGACTGTAAAATAAAGTGCTACTGCTTAACTGCTATGATTTCCAATTATATACTCTAGTTAAAGTTACTATTATATACTACTACTGCTAAAAATCCTATAAATGTATATGTTATTCAAATAGTATGATAATTTGATTGATTAGTTATTAATGATTTAATATGAATTACTATTATTATTATTTTCCATGAAAGTAGTAGCTAATGCCAAGTAACCAGTGTAATCGGTTACCTTGATCATTTTGGAAAAGAAAAAAAAGGAAAGCAAAGTCCTAATACTGACATTCATGTTAGTGGTGGCAATGCCTCCATGCTTTGATTGGCTGATCATGCTGTTCACAAGGTACTGCCCATCTCTGATGGTTCTAACAGGTGAACAAATAGACCTGAAGGGGTCAAACTGGTGAAAATGAACAAACTAATTAGAAAGTAAACAACTACCCCACTCTGACATCAACGCATCTAGCCAAGTCCAAATATAAATGAACTGGGAAAGACTGGAAACACCAAACGATCTGTGAGCTTGTGCTGTTTGAGGAATTGGTGAATAATGATCTGAAAACGTGACCATTAATTATAATATCAGATTTTCCGTTTGTAATAAATAGATTCAAATAAGAAAAATACTTAATATTGTTGTTACTGTATTTTTATTATTAATATACAAAAAATATATACTTCATTTTGTTGTTACTGTATTATTATTATTTTAAGCAACATCAACGTGATGAGATCTAATGCAACTTGGTTTTAATAACAAGAATGCTAATATTAATATAAACAATATTATATAAAAATATTAGTTTTTTTTGTCGACCATGCACATCAAATTCTTGTATTATGCAGTGATAACACGCACGAATCTAATGTTAGATTGACTGGGGAGGAACCTATGCTCTGTCCTGCACAAAACTAAATGCAACTTGACACAAAGTGTTTTCTCACAACGTCTGGTTAACTAAGATTTGACATGAGCAAATACATTTAGCATAATTACCCATGATATGTCTGACAGTCCACGATCGGACTCGGAACTGAGGCGCTATTCTTCCTCCTTTTCCGGGTTATCTCGGTTAACCCCTCCTTGAAGCAGATGAGCCAATTGCAAATTGCATTTTCTCTGCACCCTTGATCACATGCATCCAATCGCGAGGCAAACATGAATCGCATCTCGCTATGCATGTGGGAGAGGCGTTGCTTCACGCAAGTCTTCATGCTTTGGCGTCTGACAATGAACCGCCCAATCAAAATCGATAGCGTTGTTCTACAACATGTTTTAACCAATCGCTATCAAGCAGGGGCGGGCTCTGAGCAGCATGCACTAAGAGAAGGATAAAGGGAGAAAACAAGTGAAACGTTCATATAAATGAGCATTCAGACGCCATAGTAACACGGTTTACTTATACATTACTTAAATGTAAAGCATTTGCTGTATATATATATATATTGAGCATTCAGACGCCATAGTAACACGGTTTACTTATACATTACTTAAATATAAAGCATTTTCTGTATATATATATATATATATATATATATATATATATATATATATATATATATATATATACATACATACATATAAAGTGTGTGGTGCGTGCATTTGTGTTTATATTTAGTTATAATGAGTGATTATTTCCCCCCAGTGATGGAGTAATGGCAAGCAACAGTGGCATATTTTCTTAGTCACATCCAGCATTTTTTTTAATCAATTATATTTTCAGTTAGATTATAGAACATTGTACTTACATTTCAGACAGCTAAAGGGATTGTTCACCCCAAAATACATCCTTATGTTATTGCTATTCCCAACCTGCATTATTTTTATGGAACACAGATGTTATGCACTGACAGCCCTTAGTCACCCTTTACGTTCATAGTTTCTATTTGAGTGTTTCTTTTTAATATTTCTATTTGTATTTCACAGAATAATGAAAGTCAGACCAGTTTGGAACAACGTGATGGTGAGTAAATGATTACAGACTTTCACTTTTAGGTGAACTATCTCTTAAATAGAGTTTTTTTAATTCCTATTTTGTATAATGTCCTTCCTTGTTAACAAAACTGGGTTTTACAAGAGCGGAACCTGAACTGCAATAGTCTGGCACACATAACGACCAGACGTTTTAGAGATGTATAGAATCTGTTCATCTAGAAGTGTATACAATTTTTTTTACACAAGATTGTTGACTTTTGTGTATAGGACCGTATTCACACTCATATGGCCTTTTCAAAGTCCTCAAGGTTTAGGTTTTGTGAAGATGATAATTTGAAATCTCTTGTGGATTCTTCACCATTTTTGGATTCACATATTGTGTTTATTGTTGAAAGAATGTTAAAGAGTTCGAATTCTACAATTCATCACTGCGCGCATGTTATACTCGAATGTAAGGACAGCTGGCCTTTTCCCAGAAGAGACATATTAAGTTCACATTAAGATTACTAATAATTTTTGCAATAATAGGGACAACATGATCTGTAACTCTCTAGGTGAACATTTCCATTACCTTCCTCAATATGCACTAACTGCTATTTAGTATGTGCACCGCTAATAGATATTTTAATAATTCATCAGTTTGTATTGTAAATTATTCACCTCCCTGTATGGTCATTGGTGCCATTGAACCTAACCTAGTTTAAAGCCATTCTCCCTGACAGAAGTAAGATTGATAATTTAGGTTAAACGTAGCTGGGTTATAAGTCGTCATGCAACAAATAACATGTATTAGGCTAATATTTAGACTAAAGTCAATATTAGCTGTTATCACAGCAACTGACCTCTAAAATGCAGAGAACAGTACACGCTACTTAGTTTACAGAGGAGTTCATTAGCTAGACCACACAATATTGATGCTGGGGTAGCATATGAACTCCATTTCTATTCGTCTATGTTTTCAAGAATCAGCAGAATTAGATTGAAGACTGCATTTCTACCGTCCCAGAGGCATATTATGCTGTTGTCCCTTGACTGCAGTAACCATTGTTCTAATGTACATAATTGGCAATTGAATAGATTCAGAGCATTAAAAGCTGATTATTTGCCTCTTGCACTGTAAAGAATACTTCAAACCTAGTAATATGAGCTCCAAATGGGCTGATTGAATGGTTGCAATATATAACCAGATTTAGTAGGTTTGTAATTGTTTTAAAATAATGGCCTTTTCAAAGTATGACTGCTTATTGCTATCACTTTATGCATAGACATGATTAAAAGGAATGTTCCAAACAGTTGTGGTTTGAAACGCACATAGTGTGGCTTTTTTTTGGTTTCAGATACAGTATATCCAGAGGTGTAAAGAGTACCTAAAAACCATACTTGAGTAAAAGTACAGATACCTTACAGTGAAAAATACACGTTACAAGTCACCAATTTCAAAACAACTTGAGTAAAAGTCTTAGAGTATCTGATTTTAACAGTACTTAAGTATTTTACTTATACTAAATATAGGCTCAAAAAGTGCACAAGTCAAAGAGACATGCTAGTTAAAAAACTGTAACGTTGTGGAGAAGCTGGGGAAAATGTCAGAGGCAAGGTTCTATGTGCTGGTATTTAATGGAAAAACTAGAACTAACAATAAGCCAAAAGCCAAAAGCCAAAAGCCAAAGGGAACAAGGAACAGAATGACTGGCAAACAGACAACCATTACATTTGACCACTCACAAGAAACTAAAGAAAAACGTCTCTAGGTTACATATGTAACCATGGTTCCCCGAGGGAACGAGATGCTGCGTCGAGTCGCTTTGGGAACGCCCTTGCGTGACCGCGTTCTGAAGCACGTGTCAAATCCGTCCAATGGAGCAGCGAGACGTCACGAGCAGGGTGACGTAAGCACCAGAAAGCATAAAAGCACATCCGGCCGGGCGCAAACCAGCTTCGATGAAGTAGCGCCTGCAGGGATGCAGGGAGTATGGCAAAGAGACGCAGCGTCTCGTTCCCTCGGGGAACCATGTTTACATACGTAACCTAGAGACATTCCCCTTCAGGAACTCGAGCTGCGTCGAGTCGCTTTGGGGGAACTCGCATTCACATAAATTAGCCTTGTTGAAAAGTTTGGGTGAGTAGGGGCAAAACGCACAAGATGCAGTACTTTCAGTGACCTGTAATAGGCAGTATCACGTCTTTTGTAGCAGAAATAAACTGCTGCAGAAAAAGCTAGGTCCATGCAAAATGTAATGTGTAACTGCAACACTCATTTCAAATGTAGTGGAGTAAAGAGTACAGATACTCATTCAAAAATGTAGTGAAGTAAAGAGTAAAAGTTGCTAATATCTTTGATACTCAATACAACTACAAAGTATCCGAAAAGATACTCAAGTACAGTAACTAATCACATTTACTACTAAATACTTTACACCTCTGAGTATATCCACATGAGCTCTTGTAATTACTTGAACTTATAGCCATGTTGTTGTGTTTTATCAGCATGCAACATAAGCCTAATCAACCCCAGCAACTTTGTGGTAAGCTTAGCTTATGGCCAAAAGGTCTCCAACCTGGAGCAGATGTTCCAAAGCTTATATCAAAGCTCAAGCTAAAGTGTTCGTTTAGACAGATTGGATTTGCAGCAGTGTGGAGGGGTTGGAGATGTTGCCTTTGTGATTTCGGCAGGATTTGGACCATCAGCGGACATGCCTGGAGGAGGAAAGTAGCTGTCTGCGAGCCAAGATCCAGGAGCTGAAAACTGACATTAGACCCCTCACATAAGTGATCCATCGCACTCAACACATGCTCGGCCTGGATGTGAGTCACATGCCTATATTCCCTTGCCTCGTTCTCTCGTTCACTCACTCGCTCTCTATTTTCTCCCCCACCCCAAAGTCATGGGACGGTCCCTCATTCATTTTTCAAAACTCATTTTCCAGCCCTTGAGCTCAGGATTTTTTAATTTTGGCTTCACCTTGACTGGTGGCCTTTGGGCATGAGGGATCAACGGAGCCGGGCTTTGATCCAGCACGCCAGCATGGGACTCATTTCCAGCTCTGCCACACTGATGCGACTCAGTAGGTTCGACTTGACCTCGTGGCTCCTCTGGGCCCCTCCGGCCGCAGTCGACGAGACCCGCCTCCCTCCTCCTCTCCATCCTAAACACCTCCAATACCTTGTTCTAATCAAACCGCTCTTCTCTCCACAGCCCTGCCTTTGATCTGCATAATATGCCTCCTCCTCCTCTTCATTTCCCTTCTCCGTTTATCACATCATGTGTGAATGCAGAACATCAGTGAAATGTTGTAGAAGGTTAGTATAAATGTTCACTTACAGCAGGTCTAGTGAGTGAAAATGGATTGAAAGTCTGTCCTGATTGCAGACACCAGGAAAAACAAAATGCAAATTGCAAAATGCAACTAACCAGATGCTTGTAGATATTTAGCATATTAAAATTGTTTTATATTTATATTTTATTTTTAACAGGCAGACAAAGCATTGTTTTATTGCTTTTTAATGTTGTGCATCCAATAGTACTTGACAGACAGCTTGCAGTTTTTGGTAATGTTAATACAATATAAAAAAAAATCATTATGATATAATCATAATGTAATTCATTCATTCATTTAATAATAATAATAAATTAGATAAATTATTATTAATAGCAAAATTCAATATAATTTAATTTATTATTTAACATTATTTTAATTTAGCAAATTAATACATTTTTATTAATTTATTGTATTATTATTATTATTTAAATATACATGTACTTTTATCATTTAAATTTATTTAAATTATATTATTTATTTTAATTTCTTTATATTATATATTTTAATGTTATTCATTTATTTAATTTATTATTTATTTTTTATTTAAATTTAACTTTTAAAATGTATTTTCATTATTTCATTATTTTTTATTAATATATACATTTAAAGTCATTTTAAAATGTAATTTCATATTTTTGTTTATTTACTGTACATTTAATTAATTGATTTTAATGTATTTATTTTAATTTATATTTATTTAATGTGTGATTTATTATTATTCATTTAAATTTATTTAAAGTATATTTTTCCATTTATTTAAATGTATATGTTTTTATTTATATTCATTTATATGTATTCAATTGATTATTTAAATTAATT